ACAGCAGAACCTCTAAATATGAGTCTAACCATGACCCGGGACCGCGGGAATATCGGTAAACAACAAACCCCAAACACTAGAACCAACACAGCAGAACCTCTAAATATGAGTCTAACCATGTCCAGAGACCGCGGGATCATCGTTAAAACGCCGCTATTAGTCCAGAAACACTCAGAGTAAAACCTCTAAATATGAGTCTAACCATGACCCGGGACCGAGGGAACATCGGTAAACAACAAACCCCAAACCGCCCCCAAACAGACCCAAACCGACCACCTATCAGCACAGAAACACTCAGAGTAAAACCTCTAAATATGAGTTTAACCATGACCAAAGACCGAGGGAACATCTGTACAACTCCCACCCCAAACCGACCACCTATTGGCACAGAAACGCTCAGAATAAAACCTCTTAATATGAGTCTAACCATGAACCGGGACCACGGGAACATCGGTACAAAACCACCCCAAACAGACCCCAAACATTAGAACCAACACAGCAGAACCTCTGATCAAATTTCACTTTGAATGTTGGAAAAGTCGTATTTTTAGGCATCCTAATAGAGGTTCTGCAATAGTATAACATAATCTTTCATTTTTTTAAATAGTATAATACATTCTTTGCCTCAGATCATAGTTTGGCTGTTAAGATAAACTGCTAATGTGTTATATATTTAACTTAGAGAAATAAATGTTAAAAAAAGGTGATAAATAGGGAATGAATCATCTCTTTCAGATAAATCTAAATAAGTATTCCTTTTATTATTATCCATGATGATTATGTTGCTATAATATAATATTTTTTTCTCTTTATTGGTCTGTTTACATGTGATTGTTCTCTTTTTCTTGTTTTTAGGGGAGAGATATATCGAGTTATTCCTGAACTCTGTAGCAGACTGAAGGTAAAAAACTTCCCAGAATGTCCAGAATTCTTTAGATTTTCTGTTTTAAAGCTTTCGGATGTTTGTTTTTCCACTTTTTTCTGCAGAGACTGGAGCTCCAGATTCTGCTCTGATCCACAAACAGAAGATTAATGAGAATACGGACTAATAAACGCGC